TTGGTGAAAATGCTTAAATGATGGAAAACCGTACCTTAATCACTATAAAAAATCCAAGTCAAAGCAACCTTGAACCAATTAAAAGAAAGGTTGGGAAAAGGAAGGAAAAAAGCACTTTAATGAAGAAGAAAAATGAAAATAGGCATGAAACTTGAGCCTTTTTATTTTCGAATCTCGTAGTTAAAGTATCCAAAGTTTTGGGTAAGTATCAATACTCTTCACGTGACCTGTCTTTATTCAACACATTTAAAATGCAAAGTATCAATACTTTTCTTCTAGGTATCGATACTTTTCACACAAAATGCTCCTTAAGGCATTCTACCTCGAACTTATCAACACTTTCCCTTCAAGTATCGATACTTTCACACAAAATACTTCCCAAGGCATTCTGTCTTCTAAGTATTGGTATTTGTTCTTCAAGTATTGATCCTTTTGGTCCATAGCACTATCTTTCACTCCAAAACTTAAACTTTTTGGCTCTAACTTCCTTCCTTGTCCCATTTAGCTTTAAACCTTTCAAAAACTTAGTTTCCCAAGCAAGTTTCACTATGATCTTTCAAACACAATGTTTTCGTCAAGCTCACCAAGTAAGTTTACCATTTTATCCTCACATGAAAGCTAAAGGTCTCACAATAAGTTAGGGCATAAATTGACTGCCTTTAGAGTTTGTCTTCAACACATAAAGTTTATCTTGATATATGTAAGACAGATATACATGTTTACTGAATAAATTGTAAAGTGTTTCTCTTGCAAGTAAGAGCTACATAAAGCAGATAATAAAATAACTGACAAACAAATACAACACATGAAAGGTATCATTAGGGAAGTGCTGTTATACATTGTTACACTACCACATTGACTTCATGTTGATAGGAGTTGGTTTTGTATTTTAATAGACTTAGTCACTACTATTTCCCCATATTACTAATTTTTACTAGACATGAGGACTATTGGAGCATGTCTCAAGAATAGTTCATTTTTTAAAATTGAGCTCATAAAGTTTCCAGTTGCCTTAGCTTGTGAGTCATTTTCAAGAAAATGTAGTTTTAAAACTTTAAAATTAGTGTAGTGAGTTTTAATTCTGGGCTTTTCAATGCTTTGCTTGATGCGTGTTTCAATGCTACATTTATACAACAAAACCAAAGCCAACTGACTAACTTTACTTGTACAAGAGAAATGTGCACACATGGCATTAATGGCGTAAAAAGACAAAACGCATTGACTTTTATAATAAAAAAGAGGAAAACAACTTCTAAAGTTAGCTTTTATAATAATAATAATAATAATAATAATAATAATGGAAGAACACATGTTATCCATTTTCCTTTCCACATAAGTTTAAAAGTGTGATAATTTTGTTATATAAAATTATTTTGACATATTTTGAAGATTTAAAAAATTAAGTCTTTGAGATTTTATGTTTGAATTTTAATATTTTAGATATTTTTTTAGTCGAGTTTGATTACATGTTAATTAATTTAATTTAAGTTATTTTCAATTAAATTACTTTAAGTATAACTATTGCTAATTTTTCTTATTGCTTTTATAGGAAAATTGATGAGAAAGGCTTACTTGAAGATAAATTGTTCAACTATGGTAAAAGCTTCATTTGTTAATATTACAGTGTTTTGAGCACAACTTGAAATACAGTAGTCCAATTGACGTGATTCTTGAACCAATGGAAAGCTAAGAGATAGAAATACAAACTTTTGTATTTATCATTTTGCTCAGTTCAGATTCGGTGCAGGAGAAAATCGCATTGGAAGTGACTTGACTGCTATAGTTTCTGCACAATGCAGCACATGGAATGAAGGCAGTAGTGCCAAAGTGCATCAAATCTCCCATTGTGCCACCTGAGACTAGAGCATCATTGTATTGAGGAAGTGGCATCGCAATGCCACAAGACCCTTGTGCATCACACTTCCACTTGTAGCCATGGCGCTAAGGAAACCAAGGTTGCAATGCCAGGCATACTTCAAAAATTAAAATTTTTGTTGGGATTTTAGAAATTAGGTCTTTTAGAGCTTATTTAAAGGGTCTTTTTTAAAGGTGTTCAAGGGAGGATGGCAAGCAATTTTTTTGAAGAAAAAAAGCAAAAAACAAAACAAGAAAGTAAGAGAATTTAAAGGAGAATTGAGATTAAATGCTTCAACTATTAGTTTCTTTCACTACTTTTATGTTTCTCTTATTTTCTTTGACTTGTATTAAAGGCTAAATTTCTTTGGATGATTTTCTATTATTTATTATGAGCTAAATTATCTTTATCAGATTGTAGTGAATTTCAACATGTAATTTGAATATTTGTTTATTTTTTATTTATTATAAATAGGTATAGTTTTTCTTATTCAAATCTATTCTTAATGCTTTTAATTTTTTGGCCAACAATTGAATGATTTGTTAATCTAGATGAAACTCGACAGAGTAATTATAGATTAGACTAAGATTTTAATAGTGTATGTTCATGTCACTTAAGTGATTTGACTCACAATTAGGATAGACATATAGTTAAATGCCATACATAGCCATATTAGAACACGAGCTTAATAAACCTTATTTAATTGATTATTATAGATATATAGTGATCTAATTAAGTTAGATATTTGTACAAGTATCGCGATGGAAACTTATGCATAGTTTAGATTCTAGGCTAGTAAAACCATCCATGAATGTAAATAATAAGAAAAGCTAGTGTCAGGTGAAACTAATAAATTTTTTAGTCTTCGTTAATTAGTTTAGTTTTCTAATTAAATTTAGTTTTAATTAATTATTTACAAAATCAAGTTAGTTGAATAAGATTGATCT